ATATTATCGTTTCCAGCCATGTTGACGGAACGTTGAGCGTTTCACCCTTCTCGACGGAATGTCGACAGCGACTAATCGTTTCGCGGTATCGCGAACACGTTAAATCCTTTTCTGTATCGCCCGTTCGTAAGCGCGCTGTCCTTATCAATCACTAGGAATCCATACTTTTACTGCCAACAAGTACGGCATAATTCACTGAAATCCTCGTATGACATGTCGGTATTTACGTGATCGTTGTACACGTGTTTCAAATTTGTACCGGCCTGTTTGAACAAGATCAGCAGGTTCGCGTTGTCGCGTATAAGATGTTTTGGTATTCTCGCGTACGTCTGACAAAGATAGAAGCAGTCGACGTTCGAGTGACGACCCATTGAGAAGTACTCTCTTATCGTATCTTGCTTGTCGCACGCCACGTCATCGAAGACAAAAATCGAGTTTGGACGTGCCTCGCTCGGTGGAATGACATCACTGTTATTCGAGAACGTAAAGTAGCCGATTTCGTCGATCGGCGTCAATAAATTCTCCAGATATCGATATTTCGACTGTTGCAGCGACTTCGAGTACACGTACATGTTCTCGAAACGTACACCGTGTGGACTTTCCAGTAGACTTATCAAAACGTTGGTTTTACCACAATTCGAGGGACCGCAAACGATCGCGCGAATAGTAGTCGGTAGCATCGTACCGTGTCTGCGCATCTCCGCGTTGTCCCCCATTGATCGTAATCTGTCGTCGTAATTCGTCACGCGTATCGTCAAAGGCTTTCATACGAACCGCATGTTTTCTGTTTTGAAGACGTTGTCTTCGCTCTGCAGACAGGTCGGAAGAATTTCATGTCTAAGGATGCGAGTGAATTCGACCACTGCAAATTGATCAACGTTAAACTTTATCTGAATTCGGAATATTATCCGTACGACGATATGAATCTGGATTTCGATAAAAACAGATATTCTATTCTGTACGACACGTATATGCGCTTCTGCAAGAATTATTACGGATACGAGTATCTCGAGCCAAGTCTCTCCATCGGGATGTTTCAACTTTACGGTCCGTTCGTGATTATCGATTGTTCTCGACAAAACGAATCGGTCAAGAGCGCAACCGTGGATGTGAGATTGGAATTCGAGTGTAAGGAGAACGTACCGCCGAATACCACTGCGTACTGTCTCATCATACACGATCGCGTGATCCAGTACAATCCGTTGACCAACGTTGTACGCAAAATCACCTAAGTGTTTGCGACAACATCGACGCAAGAGAGAGGGAGAAGAGGAGCATGATATAAATCAAAGTCTTGCGAGATGGTTTTAGAGTTTTGTCGTTCCTCTCGACTGGCGTATCGAAGAGAGAGAGAGATCTCGTCATGTCCGTACCAACATTTGTGGATCTGCAAGGATTTATCGTTGGGAAAAATTTTGTCGTGAAGGAAGCGGCAGTCTTGAGAAAGGGATACGTTCTATCGCATTACTTTTTCGCAAGTCCCGTACCGTGGAGCGTGCTTACAAAATCTGAGCGATGTCAAGTCTCATGGTTGATTAGAAATCATCACGGATTACAATGGGAAGACGGAAACGTTCCGTATGGCTTGGCTCAGTGTGCGATTACAACAGCTGTCGTTGGTTCGATACACGAAGAAGAAGAAGAAGAATCATCTCTCGTGTACGTCAAAGGACTTGAAAAGCGAAAATGGCTGGCCGATATACTAGACGATGCGGGGAACGGCTATATTATTGAAACCTTGGATGCGGATTACGAAGATATCGATGCTCTAAATAAATTAGATGATACGAATAGTATGCGATGCGGAAAACATGTTAAGAATTGCGCATTACAAAATGTATTCAAAATATTTAACTGGTGGTCGCGACGCCAGAAAGAATTGCGAGAAAAATAAAATATGTAAACATTAATATGCGTTATCTCTTATTTCCCCACCCTAATCTTTTACTTGCGTTTCTAAGAATTCTTTTGTTCGAGCGCCGCCTCCCTCTTATCCTAAATTCCTAAATTCCAATGCGTTAGAAGCATTGATCCCCCACCACTACATTATACTTTTAGTAGATGAGCATCGGATATAACCGATTAATTCCTGTACGACCAGTGTCGCGTTAACCGCTCGTGGATTCACTTTTCATAACCTCCCAGAGAAATGTACTACGTTGAAAGAAGCAGCAGCGGCATCGGAAGACACGTGAATAATTACGTGCCGAGTCGTGATAAAACTCCATCGTTTGAGAACAAATACGACGAGTAAGTTTCGTTTAACATTTTTTTTTCTATTTTTCTATTTTTCTATTTTTACAAATTGTATTATTAGTATTACTTAAAATTAATATAATAACTTTATGTCGCTAGTCAGATAATCACAAGGATCGTTGAAAAAAATGTAGTCGACCAATCTAGCCAGAAATTTGTTTATTAATACGACGTTTCGACCATATGGTTGTGGTCCTTATCAAGTATATATTGGAAAGATTTATAAATAAATAAATTAATTAATTAAACAATTAATTTACGGTTTGAATAATATAACAAGCACAACGAAATAAAGTGTGATCAATTTTACCGATGCAATAATAATCAGGAAACAGGCATATACGATAATCTTGCAAAACTTCACAAGTCATATTCATATTAACAAAAAACGTTATTTAACTGGATTTGAATTTGAGAGAAAACTGATGCGTCCGTTTGAGATTTCGTCAAAAAACTAAACACAACCAGAGGAAAAACGAAACTACGTGACCTTTATTATTTTGTCATAAATGTTGTTTAAATTATCCGTGTCTTTCTGTAAGTTGATTAGGTTATTAAATCTCTTGATAAAGAACATCTCAGCGATCTCTCTCTTTCGAACATACTTTTCGCTATGCAAAATATTGGGTTTCGACCAGTCAAAATCATGTCCCGATTCTAATCTATGTTTGCTAATGACTGAATGATTAGTTTCATGTAACTTTATATTATTGCAATGTTCTTTCATTCGCATACGTAAATGTCTTTTTGTTTGCCCAATGTATGATAAGTTACAATCTTTACAATTTAATTTGTATACAACACTTGTCTTGTCATTATTATGTAAGCTATCTTTACCGCGTCTAATTAAATTATTTAGTTTTTTTGTTATTTTGTAGACGACGTTAAAACCACTATTTCGTAAAAGACGGTGCAGATCATGACTCGTATTCTCTACGTATGATATTGTAATAAAATGAGTCTTGTTTAAATGAGTAGGATTCACATCAATAGTATCATTGTGATCGCGATTATTTAAAAAATTAATTCTTTTTTGAATATGCCTATGGATGATATGTTCTGGAAAACAGTTATTGATTAAAGTGTCATATACTAGCTTAATGTTTTCTTGTTTGAAGCAGTCATTAGATAATAAAATAGCAGTATTACTTAATTTTAATTTTTCCTGTAGCATTTCGTCGGAGCGTCGTGCGGTTCGTATGCTAGGCAGACGATACGCATTGACAGCTACGGAAAAAAAAATTCTTCGAAATCGGTATCAACGGGGGTCCGCCGAGTTACGTGGAGATTGTCATAGGAGATCATCGGGGAAAGGGACTGATATTATCTCTCGAAACGTGGAAGGGACTCTGCGAGCAACGTCGCAATATTCTAAATCTCCTTCGGAACGACATGTATAATTTTATAAGCGTTGGACCGCTAACAGTGCGAGTTCGTACGATTAACGATGCCAAACTCATAAGTCTCGAATCTTCGAACGTATGCATGATGATGGTAGAATCGACGTTATATCGTATGTTCGATCTCGATGATTGCATAGATGTAACTTTTGATCGATTGAATAAAGTGACCGAGACAGTCGAATGACAGACCGAACATGTCAAATTTACGCAATTCTCTAATATCGCGTCCACTGTAACGGATCCTAAAGAAGTATCAAATGTAATACGCGCGAGTGACGCTTTCAACAAGCATCAACTCGTCGATTGTGAGCTGGCGGCTTTAGCTTTTAGCCCATATAATATGTAAGACAAAAAAATATATAAAAACTTGAATAAAGAGTTTTAAGTTTACTATATCATGGTGTACTTTCTTTGCGTTTGACCATCCCAGCTTTCATGCATAGGTCCTTGCGAGAGAGTTATCATGAGAGAGCAAACACTAGGAAAAAAAGAGAGATAAGGATACGTCGAACGAAAAAATCTAGAATTACTTATATCGGGGGTGAGGGGTGTACCGCGAAAGCGCTGATATACGAGCGGTGGAAGCAAGAGTACAAAGCAGCCAAACATCGGCGCTGATACGTTAAAAAATTCTTCCGAGAAAAAAATCGTGAAAGATCATTCTGAGGTACTATTTGTTTATATTGTTTATCAACCAGGCATGCGATACAATATTGCTTATACTTTCGATAAATATATGGGACCGCGCATACTTTTTACGAGGCGTTTACAACGATATGGCGATAATGCCACATCTCTATTATACAATCATAATCTCAATTCAAAGAAATGCTGATGTTTATATTATTTATAAACCGAACATGTTCGTACGCAATACTGTTTATCAGCCGGGCATGTAATATAATATTGCGATAAAACATCTAACACGCGCCGCCGCCGAAATCCCTTCCGTCCCGCGTGACGTCATTACCCCGCGCCACCGTAATCCCCCGCGCGCCTCACCCCCCCCCCTGAGAGGACCTGGGTTAGAACTCTCCTATATATCCTACTTACCGCCTAGAAGACCGATTTCGAGAACTCTCGTGGCAAGCTTTTGCGTGCGGGCTTGCCTACACTGATTCGCTCACTAACGCTACCACATGGCTTGAAAAAACCCGAGAACTCTATCGACTCTTGGCCGAAGGTCATACCGGTTGGATTAACATAGTATTGCCCTTGGGGCAAGGATCCACCCTCGTCAAACTTACACCCCATACAGGGGTGCGTTCAGATTTCTTAACCGGTGGGTGAGGGTAGGATGGATTGGGAGTAGGCGGAACTACTATTGGGTGATCTTTGTAGACTAAAAATCTGAACGCACCCGGGGACCGTGTAATTGGCGCCAAAAACAACACGTCAAATATCAACACATCTAATCTTGAAGATGGATCATCGTCGCCAAGTAATTGTAGCGTTAGCTGTGACTATTAGTAATAATTTTTAACGAGAAATAATGGAAAGTGAGAGTGACAATAGCGATAGTGACACTTCTGATGAAGAGTTAGATATGAGGATACATTTGCAATTGCGAGGGCCTCAACGCAAACCTACAAGAATTGTAGGTTATATGGAACATACAATCTCACAACTTCATCGTGAACAGTTCAGGAAACATTTTCGTGTGACTTCTACAACATACAATCTGTTTGAACAGAAATTAGCATCAGCTTTACAAGAATATCAGTGTAAAATCTCACATACCAGTTAGAAAACAATTGCTTGCAACTCTTTGGTTGTTAGCTACACCAGATTCTTACAGGTAAATTTCTCTTAAGATATTTAAAAAAAAAAACAATTAAAATTATGCAGTCATAAATTTTAAAATATGTGCTTATTGTGCTTATGTGATTTATAATCATAAAAATTAGAAAGTCTGTGAATCTTGCCTATGAATAAGTTTATTTGTTTCAGATCTGTAGGAGAAAGGTTCGATATGAGCAAAAGCTCATTAAGTGTCAGTTTCATGAGAGTTATACAAGCCTTGAATAATATCGCTGGAGATGTCATACGATGGCCAAGAGGGAAAAGATTAACAATAGTGAAACAGAAATTTCAGAAGTTGTCAGTGCTACCTGACATAATTGGAGCTATAGATGGTATTCACATTTCTATAAAAAATCACATGTAAGTTTTTTGGTTTAAAAAACAATGCAAGTTCTTCTTTTTCTGATTTATACACTATTTTTATCAATTTTGAAATGATTTTATCTAGTAAAATAAATATTATATTTATAATAATTGAGCTAGTTTTAAATTAAAATAAACGTATGATATTTCTGAATATCAGATTTACAATGTTAAAATTTAACATGTTTTTTTTGTAGAAAGATTGTCTATCTTATAAGACGTATAAGAAAAATTATGCTATTATACTGCAAGCTATATGTGACTCTGAGTTGGTATTTCTGGATTGCTTTACAAGTTATCCAGGATCTGTTGGTGATATAAGGGTGTTCAGAAATTCTGATCTTTGGTCGGAAGTGCAAAGAAATAGACAGTTGTATTTTCCTAATGAGAAATACATCATTGGTGACAAGGCTTACCCTGTATTATGTTGGTGTATTTCTGGTTTTCGTGATCGTGGTAATCTACAGCGGTGAGTCATAGTTTTTCATTTTTAAGTTTTCCTTACATTAAACATTTTCTTAATTTTCTGCTGTATACTTGATCTTGATAAAATAATCAGAGCATTTTTCTTTTGCAGGCTCAAAAGAGATTTAATGACATACTGTCAAAAGTTAGGCAAGTCATTGAACGAGCGTTTGCATTGTTGAAAGGACGATTTCGGAGGCTAAAATATTTAGATATGAATAGAATGGACATGATCCCCTTTGTGATAATTGCTTGCACAGTTCTTCACAATATCTGCCTTGAAGGACTTGATGAAGGCATAGAAGAATATATTTTAGAAGGTTGGGAAAATGAAGTCCATGTTGTTTGAGATCCAGTATTAGAAGCAGATGAAGATGATGCTGGTGTGGCAAAAAGAAATTATCTAGTAACTCTTGTTTGATAATAATGTAATACTTCTTACTACATATTGTTTAATCAATAAATAGTCATGTAAAATTTTCTGATGAAGAATAAGGTAATTGAATCAAAATAAATAAATATTTGTAGTAGAATTTTGTATTTATTAAGTCATTTTCATTAAATGTAATTTTAATCAATTCTATATATTCTCTATATTTTTATTATCCTTACTATTATGTAATCATTATATTTATTATATTAAATCAATAATATATAATGTATAAATATAAATATATCTGACAAAAATATAATATCTTAGATCTTTATATCTTATAGATATTTTTAATATATAAAAATATAAATATCTGAAATAGAAACAAATCCTGAAAAAAAAAAAACTTAAACTCTTATACACATTATATACAGTTTTAGAATCTATACTTAAAACTCTCATTGACAAATAAAAAGAATATGAGAACTATTTCACATTTAAACTATTAGGTTGAGTTTTCATTTGACACTCGATACTCATTTTTAGTGTCAAAAGACGTCACGTGATCAGAAAATGGTAAATGTATATTTATTTTTAGTGTGATGTTTTTTGACGCTGTAAAATGAGTGTCGAGCGGCAAGTGACAACATAACTTCAAGCATTAATATTTCATGCTTTTCCTTTAGCGACTGAAATCGACACAAGTATCATTCTATCTTTGTTATTCGTGATGTTGAAAAAAGACAGAATGATGCTCATATCAATTTGTGTTGCTAAAGGGAAAGCACCAATTGTCAAATAGAAACAAAACAAAAAACACGTACACAATTAACTAACTTGGGAATTGCAATAAATAAACGAAATAATACATCATGAATTTCTTTAACCATAGATCTCCGATATCTAACGAAAGTGTTAACAGTGTTCGAATAAAATAATAGAAACTCAAAAAAATGAAACAATTTTAAAAAGAATTAGTTAAAAACAGAAAAAAATGCATATTACTTATAATTCTACAATTTTTCTAACAGTTGATTCATTGCATTCTGATACACTTCAATTGCACGATCCTGCCGCTGCATACGTTCAGTGTGCCTCTTCTGTCGAGTCTCTTCCTTTTTTTCAGATTGCTGTGTTCTTATAGCAAGTAGTCGAGTAGTCGAGTAGTCGTTTCGAGATTTCTTTCAGTAATACTTTTCTTTTTCTTCTTAGATTTAACTGAATTACAACGATCACTATCGTCTTCACTGTTACTGCCTACAAGTACAGAAATTGCACTTAAAGAATCTTGGGAATCAGGTTGATGACGTCTTTTTAATGTTGACGCTATGGATATAGGTTTCACAGCTGGCTTGTCACCAAGATCATCATCCATTTCTTTGTAAAATTTGCATGTAGCAACTGGAAGACCACTGCCTTTCTCATTTTGATCCCTAGCTTTTACATATTGTTTCCTAAGATCCTTGAATTTATCTTCACATTGCTGACCAGTGTAGTTCCAGAGTGAGTTTTCTTTCTTTAATTTACTGGCTATCATTTCCCAGACTTTTTTGTTGGTAATAGTAGTGCTTTTAAAATAGTGCTCATGTCCTCTCCATTCATCAATGAGGGTTTTAACAGCATATTCATCCTTCCATGACGCTGTACCTGTGACAAGGAATAAGAATTATTAATAAATGAAATAATATATAAGAAAGTGGAATTACAAAGAAGAATTTAAAAAGATACCGTACTTTTCTTGCCAGAGATGTCAGTAAGTTGTCGACTTCGTAAGCTTTGATTCTCAGAGTTTACAGCGAGCTGTTCATTAGATAATGTTTCTATTTCTGGGGTTTCACCTATTCAACAATAAATATTTTATCTTTAAAGATTCATAGCAAATAAAATAATCTCATACAACTTTTAATAAAATAGAGATTAATAAAACAAGAAAAATTTACTAGAAAAAGAGGAATTTATTTTAACCTGCAGATTGAAAGGCGCTAGATTTTCAGGTGTTATTTCAAGATGCACTGGACAATTAGCTATGTTGAAATAAAAAAATTGTAGGGAACCGCAGGGAATGATAGGTTCGTTACTCAGTAATCACACGGTAGCAATGGTAAAAATAACATTTATTCAATCTTCATATATTAATGAATATATGATCTGTGATGGTGTTTATAGGGGGAAATACGCCTGATGTATATGTGTCGCTCCGGGGATCGGGTTTGTGTCCCGGCGTTCCGGACCCGGTAGCGGACGGACTCCTCTCGGATTGCATCTGTTTGCGTCGACACGTCCTTCGTGTTTTCCGTAGTCTGCGTGGCCGTAGACTGGAGAACCTCCTCTCGCCGCGATAGCCGTGGGTCCCGTAGAGATGATGGTTCCGGTGAAATCCGTGGTGGAGTATACCAGGGTATTGCAGGGACTTGCACTGACCCTGACGAGACCGGAGACGGAAGCTGTGTGATTTGCCTCGGCCTGAGGACTGCCTTGGGCCTTTCACAGGTCCTTTTCACGCCCCGAGGGTGGAAGGCGATTATACGGCTCGTCCGGGTTCGTCCTCCTGGTTACTTTGATTTTATTAGAGTAGGGTCGTAAATGACCTTTCTCCTTTCCTCCTTTAGAGAGGCCGGAATGCGGACCCCGAGGATGACGTTTCGAGGCCTAAACTCCAGGGAGTGGGGGTTCCTGCTAGCCGAGGTTCCTCGTAGCGGCGAGAGTGCCGCGGGTGGTCCTGCCGTCGCCTCGTTGCTCCGCCGGCCAGAGAGCACTGGAGCTGGACGCGTCCTCTTCCGGACGGTGATCTCCTCCGAGAGAGGAGGCGCGTTCTCCTTTGCCGCTGTGATGTCGTCCAGGTCGCTGCTTCTTCTTGAATATCTTCGATCTTCTCGATGCGCATTAAAAGCGATTGTCGTAAGAAAGGTGTCTTGGCTCTGCGGGGGTCCTCCTTATATCCGCCGCTTGCTGTTTCCGAATTGCGGGAAAAGCACAGTTGGCGTGCGCCGCTTGGCGGAAGTGCCCGGTACTAGGCGCGCAGCTTATAAGTAGCCGCCGCGTGCCTGCGCGCTTGCGAGAAAGCCGGGTCGCAGCGTGCCCGCGTGCTTGCGAGAAAGCAGAGTCGCCGCGTGCCCGCGCGCTTGCGAGAAAGCAAAGCCGCCGCGCGCCGAGTCAGTGCGTTATCGCGAAACGTCTTGTGTGGCGTGTACCGCCACAAAAATAATAAATCATGTAAAGATTGACGAAGGAGAATTTCATATGAAGTTCCATCCACCATAACCTCCTGTTTTATTTAGCATTAATAAAATTACATCAATAAACAACTTACCATCACGTCCCATACAACCAATTTGTTGTTTTCAATGACTGGAGAACCATACTCCGTAACCACAAGTTTAAAGTTTATTTTGCGTTAAAAAAACACTTCTTCACTTATTATTGTAATTCGTGTGTACTTAGCGCGAAATAATATTCAAACTCTACCCGCTAACACCCTATATCAAGAGCAGGGTGCTTTCTCCCTTCACCCAAATGTGTTCATATGGAATCTGAACGATACTATGCGCGCCACCTGGGTAGGAGCAAGAGAAATCTGAACGGCGTTTGGGTGGCTCGGAGCACCTGGGTAGGGAATCTGAACGCAGCCCAAGGAGAGCACAACGGGGGAAATTATAATTTTAGGGATATGTTAATTAAGCTAGGACGCAAAATTAAGTACTAAAGTAACGAGGGATGTGTTCCCCGCTGTATAAAATAAATATATATATATATATATATATATATATATAGAGTTAAAAAAAATAATAATAATAAATAAAATTATAATAAATATAATAATAAATATATAAATATATAATATAATATAATAAATATATAATAAAATTTTTTTTATTAAAAAAAATATACAAAGAAATAACGTGAGTCAATTTAGAAAACTTAAGTGCAATTATATCATTAAATAAGTATGTCTCAACTATACATATATTTTGAGATAGATATACCTTAAAACTATATATATTAATTTATATGCTCATCACTCATTTTTTATTATTAGTATTTTTATTATTAAGGCGTTATTATTAAATTACTCAGTTACGCGTATATCTTACATTAATAAGGTAATATATATATATATATATATATATATATATATATATATATACTAACACCGTAGGATAATAACGCATTGTATGAATCCATTAATTCATAAAAAAATTTTTTTTTTTCAAATACACTTCAATAATGTTTTCTTTTTCCTTCCTTCCCTCCTTCCTCTTCCTGTTTATGGCACCTATATGCCATCACTTTATAATTAGTACGTAGTACTGCGCTATATATATATATATATATATATATATATATATATATATATATATTAACTAGAATAATAATAGTAATAAGATAATGATAACGCTATTAATAACGATAGTAACAATAGTAATGATAATACTAATAACGATAAAATAACCACGGTTTCCATCGTCTAATAAAATACCGGAGGAAATAACTGTTCATTCGACATTATCACTCTTTATAGAAAATGGAAATCGAAGCCATCGACACCACACATTTACGCCCAGAACATCAAGAAGTAAAAGTTGTATGCGTGGAATCGCCGTTACTCTTCTGAGTACAATTCCGAAACGACGAAAAGTTTACGAAAAATTACAAAATAAATTGCAAATTAAAATGGCTGCTAATAAAAAACTTATGACAAATATACAGGAAGATCAAGCCGTTAGTGTAATGTATAACAGGCTCTGGTGTCGAGGCATAATAACCAGAGTGAGCAGAATAATTGGAACAGCCGAAATCTTTCTAAAGGATATTGGCCGGAAAGTATGTCTGCCTCATAATGAACTATATGAATTTAACAACGAGTTCAGAAAATTACCGTGGCGAGCCATTACGTGCGGTTTAGCATACACAGGATCAGAACCCCATTTCCACCTGGCCAGAAGTTAATAAAAATCTTGCTCGCATAGTCGCTGAGG